GCGCAATAGAATCGTTGGCCATGATGACACTTGAGGAGGAAGATTAGAGTTGAAAGTCGAGGTAGGAGAAATAATAGGAATTGAAGAGGGAGATTGATCATGAATACAGTGATCTTGAGTACTGTTAGAGGTATGAGGGTAGTTATCACTTCCCAGTTGCCCACACCGTGGGAGGGTTCTCCTGGAGGCACCTGAAAAGAAAATTGGGTTAGGAGTGGTTTTATTGAACTGAGAGCGTGACCGCAGTGCTCAAGGGACATCTGCTTGATGTCGGTCACACACGACCTTTTTATGAGTAGTTTTTGTGTTAGCTCCGTACTTGTTGAAACCTTACACCCGGAGACGGATATCCATGGGATAAGGCGAGGTGTGCATTTTTAGGGTCGACCTTTTCTAACCCCACCCCTTCTTTTGGGAAGGCAGCATCGCTGTTATGCTGGTTGTCTGAAGGAAACACCTTACTGCTGTCATACCTCTGTACAGTCAGCAGTACGCCCTCGCCCTCAGACCTTGGGTTTGTTGCTTTTAGTCTTACCGTTCTTCAACCGACCTGTCTGGCATGGTAGGACCTTGAGGAACGGTTGTTCCAGCCAGTATAGCTCAGTTGCTTCATCACGATAAGTAAGCCGGACCACCACGTCAAGGTAGCAACAACGGTCTCCTGAAATCACTCTCTAAACTTCACGTAGGAGCTTTCGACGTCCGAATACTGTGCCAAATAGGACAACAGGCTTCCTTAGCTAAGACTTTAGAATCTCGCTCCATCGATGTGTGCTGCGTCTCCGAAACGCGCACACAGGATCCTAGTAGTGTCATTCATTTGACCGCACCATGTCAAATTAACGAACCAACTCGATTTACGCTTCGTGTATCTGGAAGCCCTGATGCTGCATCCCGTGGCCTCGCTGGCTTAGGTATAGCATTGAGTCCTAGGGCATAACTAGATCTTTTAGACTGGATCCCTGTAGACAGTCGTTTGTGTGCTGTCCGACTAAACGGAACAGTAAGGATTCGGAAAGATAGGTACACTCGTAGTTGTCTCTGAAAGTATAAGTAGAGATAGGGGACATTAAGGTTTAATGATGTTATTAAAGGAGTATAGTCCAGTGGAATAAATTGGGAAAGAAAATAAAGGACATGAAGAATTCAGAAGATTAGAGTTTGAGAGAACACAAAGAGTGGATGCACCTGCGCCATTGCAAACGATTTTGAGCCATGTCATTCAAGGTCTCTAAACATCCATGAAGTCACTGACAAGTGGACTGAGCCATGTTGGTAGGTGTAGACTACCTGGCCGGGGACCGTGAGATGATAGCAACCGATGGTTAGAAACCTTCAATGACATGGCTCAAAATCGTTTGCAATGGCGCAGGTGCATCCACTCTTTGTGTTCTCTCAAACTCTAATCTTCTGAATTCTTCATGTCCTTTCCAATTTTTTTCTCTTTTCGAATTTATTTTACTTGATTATACTCCTTGAATAACATCATCAAACCTTAATGTTCCCTGTCACTACTTATACTTTCACTACCTGTACCACTACGGGATTTGAATCGACAGCTGCATCTCTGTGCTAATGTGGTGTGGCAACTCGAACTTATGTACGTACGTACTAAGTTCCACGTTGTTACTGACTGACTGACTCTCAAGAGTGTCATAGAATGTTGTTGTACACTATAGTTGCTAGCTAACTTTATTGTTCTTCGGTGTTTCTGATGTACTGTGCTACCAAATTTTTGACTTTGTGATTAGCTGGAAGCCAAGAAAAAAGACAAAAGTTTAACTGTGTTGGTTGTACCAGTAATTCGGTGGTGAAAATATTACTCCGTTTTATCAAATCATATTCGTTTTTTTTTTATTCAAAAAGTACAATATTAAAACATATCATAATTAAAGTATTTAGCCCACAAGTGTTTTTAACTGCAAGTATATCCATATGACTTTTAGTGGTATTTTATTCGACATGTAAACAGTTCAAAATAAATATGTCTAATTCTTGAATATTTAGATCCTTTTGTTATTTTGGGTAGGGATTTTCTAGTATGTATTCAATTTGAAGGTTATTTGTATCACAGACTAACAGGAGCTTGAAAAGTATTAAAATAAAGGAACACTGGATAGTAGCTTCGGTCAAAGATTCTAAGAACTGCACACTTACGACTTCACACTAGATCACATCTAGAAGATCAGAGAAATTTTCTCAATGATTTATTTCAAGCTTAATCTTTAGGCATTTGAGATTGTTTGAATCAACGCAGGCATTTTGTACATCAACAAATAAAACTTAGAAGTTATAATATTTTGACATCTGTAAGACTTTAAATAATGGGAGTATCACTTCAATTTATTAAATCGGAAGCGTATATGACGATTTATTAATACTTATGTATCTACACAAAAGACCAAAGACCATAGCTGTTCGGCTACTTTATCTCTGAATGATTGTCCGTATTGGTTGGACTGATGAGACTCCCGTGATAAGCTAAGGTGTCGATATTTTCAACTACTCCATTCCCTATCATTAATTCAGGTAGATACAGCATGATGAGTGCATGAACCATGATATACCTAAAATTAATAATTTCGATGATGTACTAAGGAAACGGAAGCACTAAATACGCATTGGAAACAGCTATGAAATAACTTGTAGGTCGTTACGAAAATGAGAGATTTGAAATTACTCAAAAAAGTTATTAGCGTATTAAGGGTAAAATTCCTTCTTTACAATAATGGAAAACTTGTCAATACAATTTTCGAGTAAGTGCGCTGTGAACGACGGTACCAAACAATTATAATTTCGAGAATTAGATGGCTGTTAAACCGAAAATGACTGTAGACTTAGTTTCCACCGTCAGAAATCCTACATGTTGCAGGGAAATTACTATTAATCTAAAGGATATTCACGAGAATGTGAGAAAGAAGAAAACTATGACCATGATTATTGCATGAGAATTCAAACATACTAGCTGCCTCAGACTCGGTAAAAGTTGAAAGCTTAACAGACTTGTCAGTGGACATTATCGTTAACAGGTTATATACACTATATAGTCGCCTTAGAGATATAGCTATTAGTGTCACAAAAACATCCTTCTAGTAACCTGAAACCTGGTAAGTCAGAGTCTTGACGGACTACACTTCTCATCTATTGTTACTCCTAGCATACAGTACCTCCAGGGATCTATTGAGTATGTCAACTTCCCAATAAATTGGAAGGATGTTGCTACTTGCCCTGGTTTTAAGAATAATAGGCCTTTTTACAGACATTTCAACTCCGCCTAGAGCACCTCTGGGGCTACTGCCTGTCCCAAGCCCGGATAAAGGAGCAGGGTCGGGCATGGATTTAGCGACCCCATCCCGTAGAAAACTAACTCGCTAAAAAACGCTAACCAGGAAAAATTATTCAAACCATTTAAACTCTGCCCTGGGAGTCAGGAGGTCTTCGTTTAGAACAGTTATGACGCCTCATAATGAAAGCCGAGTTCCTTCGGAAGTAACGAGGCCGATGCCCCTTCTGACAACCAGAGCAACCATTTATTTAGGTACATGGAATGCTCGTACAATGTGGGAAACTGGGAGATTCTTCCAAATTGCTGCAGAAATAAGGAGATACAACATAGAGGTGCTTGGGATCAGTGAAGCACATTGGACGCAAGTTGGACAACAACGACTAGCTTCAGGCGAGCTTCTGTTATACTTCGGACATGAAGAAGAAAATGCCCCACATACACAAGGAGTTGCATTGATGCTGTCCAAACAAACACAAAATGCACTTATAGGATAGGAATCTCATGGACCAAGGATCATCAAAGCCTCCTTCAAAACAAAGAAAACGGGGATTACAATGAACGTCATCCAATGCTACGCGCCTACCAAAGACTACAATGAAGACGCTAAAGATCCATTCTACGATAGGCTGCAGTCAATCGTCGAGAAGTGCCCAACAAAGGACCCTACCATTCTGATGGGAGATTCAAATGCCAAGGTTGGAATGGACAACACCGGATACGAAGAGATCATGGGACGACATGGAATGAGAGAAAGGAACGAAAATGGTGAGAGATTTGCGAACCTATGTGCCTTCAATAAACTGGTCATAGGCGGCACTATATTCCCAAATAAACGCGTACACAAAGCCACATGGATTTCACTGGGTCACACTACACAGGATCAAATCGAGCATAGCTGCATCAATAAAACGTTCAAGAAGACAATGGAGGATGTGAGAATCAAGAGAAGAGCTGATATAGCCTCAGATCATCACGTGCTGTTCGCCAAGATGAAATTGAAACTCAAGAAACACTGAACAACGGGGAGGACAACATCACAAAAGTTTAAAACGACTCTTATTCGGGATACTAACAAACTCAGCGAATTCAAGATAGCTATCAGCAATAGGTTCCAAAACTTTCACGATCTACTCAAATGAGAGCAACTGGAAGGGGATCTAGGAGGCAATGACTTCAACATGTCATGGGGTTCTGGGCCAAAAGAAGCACCATCACAAATAATGGATCACTGTTGATACACTGGATATGATTCAAGAAAGGAGGAACAGGAATGCAGCAATCAATACCAGCCGACCAAGAGCAGAGAAGGCCAAGGCAAAAGCTGAATATACACAAGTAAACAAGCAAGTGAAGAGGAGCATCAGAACTGACAAACGTAAATATATGGAAGATTTAGCAGTGACGGCGGAAAAGGCTGCAAGAGAAGGAAACATGAGAATTGTATGATACAACAACGGAACTCGCCGAAAATTATCGTAAATCAGAATGGCCAGTGGAAATCAAGGAAGGCAAAGTAATCACCAACATTGAAGAACAACGAAACAGGTGAGTAGAACACTTCAAAGAACTCTTGAATCGACTAGCTCTACTGAACCCACCCAACATCGAAGCAGCATCCACAGACCTCCCAATCGATGTTGGCCCACCAACAATTGAAGAGATCAGACAAATCAATTGTGGCAAAGCAGCAGGGCCAGACGACATTCCAGCAGAGGCACTGAAAGCGGATGTAGCAGTAACTGAAAAGATACTTCATATTCTCTTCAGAAAGATTTGAGATGAAGAACAAAGACCAACAGACTGGAAAGAAGGACACTTGATCAAGATACCAAAGAAGGGCGATCTCAGCAAGGGTGATAATTACAAGGGCATCACTCTTCTCTCAATACCAGGAAAAGTCTTCAACAGGGTATTGTTAAACAGAATGAAGGACTCCGTAGATGCCCAACTTCGAGACCAACAGGCAAGATTCCGTAAGGATCGATCATGTACAAACCAAATCGCAACATTACGGATCATTGTGGTACAATCAATTGAGTGGAATTCATCACTCTATATCAACTTCATCGACTACGAAAAAACATTTGATAGCGTGGACAGGGCAACACTATAGAGGCTCCTTCGACATTACGTGTGCCTGAGATAATTAACATCATACAGAATTCCTATGATGGATTAAACTGCAAAATCGTTCATGGAGGACAGTTGACAAACTCGTTCGAAGTAAAGACCAGTATCAGGCAAGGTTGCTTACTCTCACCCTTTCTCTTTCTCCTAGTGATCGACTAGATCATGAAGACGTCAACATTTGGGGGTTAGAATGGGATACAGTGGATAGCTAGGATGCAGCTGGACGATATAGACTTCGCAGATGATCTGGCTCTTCTATCGCCCACGCGACAACAAATGCAGGAAAAGACGACCAGTGTAGCTGCAGCCTCAGCAGCAGTAGATCTCAACATACACTAAGGGAAAAGCAAGATTCTCCAATACAACACAATATGCACCAATCGAATCACACTGGACGGAGAAGCTTTGGGAGATGTAAAAACCTTTACATATCTGGGCAGCATCATTGATGAACACGGTGGATTTGATGCAGATGTGAAGGTGCGGATCGACAAAGCAAGAGCAGCATATTTACAATTGAAGAACATCTGGAACTCAAAACAACTATCGACCAACACCAGAGTCAGAATTTTCAATACAAATGTCAAGATAGTACTACTGTATGGGGTGGAAACTTGGAGAATCACGAAAGCCATCATCCAGAAGATATGTGTTTATTAACAGTTATCTACGCGAAATACTTCGGACCCGTTGGCCAGACACTATCAGCAACAGCCTACTGTGGTAGAGAACAAACCAGATTCCAGCGGAGGAAGAAATCAGGAAGAGGCGCCGGAAGTGGATAGGACACACATTATGGAAAGCACCTAACCACGTCACAAGCCAAGCCCTCAATTGGAATCCTCAAGGCCAAAGGAGAAGGGGAAGACTATAAAACACATTACTCCGAGAAACGGAGACCGATATGAGAAGAATAAACAAAAATTGGGTAGGACTTGAAAGGAAGGCCCAGGACAGAGTGGGTTGGAGAATGCTGGTCGGCGGCCTATGCTCCATTAGGAGTAACAAGCGTAAGTAAGTATTTCTTCACATGCTTCTTAGTTGTGTCATACATTTCTCTCATGCGTCCTTTTCATACAGCCTTTTTTGATGTAGTTGGTAGGTTTTCTGCATATTTTCCCTTACCCCCAAATGCCCTGGTACAGCCGAGACTTGGGAGAGTCCGGTCACCCTCTCGAAATGTTCTCACATAGCCTCTGTCAGGGATGTCCTTCTCATTGCCTTCTCGTGGCTGGGGTGTTGTCCACGTAATTGAGAGAACGAAAAGCTAATGTCCGGCGCTTTGACCGGGTTGATGGACACGGAGATTCCACCTAGGGCAGTTGGAAAACCCTGACTCTAAACCAATAGTGCGCATGGACCCCAGTATCCTGAGGGAACAAATGGCATGTGAAACTTTTGTTAGTCACCGGCCACCATGGGATTGCATCTCCTAACGTTGCTCCATTACCTTATCGATTAGACCTCTAGGTCAAAGGCTTGGGGTGTGAATCCCTAAGAAAACCACCCGCTTCGCTTTGGGCATTCAGACAGTATCACAACCCTCACGCAAATCAAGTGACTTATGTGGCACATATATATTTAGTTTATCCTTGTATCAATGTTTGTGTTGAACAATTGATTATATGTAGTATTTTATTTATTTATTTTAACACATAGATATTGGTACAAGGAGGCACCAAGTACATATGCGCCACACGAATCTCAATTGATTTGTGTGAGGGCTGTGATACTGCCCGGGTGCCCAAACCGAAGCAGGTGGTTTTCTTAGGGGGCCACACTCCGAGCCTTCGACCTGGACGTCTGACCCACTAGGCAGTGGGGCATCGTGAGGAGATGCAGTCCCATGGTAGCCGGTGACCAACGATTGGTTCATCGCCATTTGTTCCTTCAGGATACTGGAGCCCATGTGCACTATTGGTTTGGGATCCGGTTAAAGCGCCGGAAATTCGCTTTTCGTCCTCTCATTTTCGTAAACAACACCCCCGCCACGAGAAGGCAGTGAGTAGGACTTCCCTGGCAGAGGCTATATACGCGTGGCCATGTGAGAGCATTTCGAAAGGGAGAGCGGACTCTCCCCACTCTCGGCCATACCAGGGTATTTGGGGGGTATTATAAGTGACACAAAGCGGCCTGATACTCACTGTCGATCATAATCAACATGGAGCCTGACGTAAATATGCTTTAGTCCAAGTTGTTACACTTCACTGTAAAAATGAGACGAAAAGTAAACAAGTCTTCATAATGTAGTCTCAATGATAATGAGAAAGACCAAATATTTTGAGTGTGGATTGAAAAAAAAGACAAGAAAGTTGTGTATGAAGGAATACTGGGTTTTAAGATCGAGGGGATGATAAAGTGAATACATTCGCGCCATTTTGGGTAGTTTTAAACTATATTCCTCAAAGGTGAGGAATGACAGAAACAAAATAATAACAGATATGTATAATATCCGCATCAAAAATTAGTAGTTTGTAAATGGCGTGTGTTGAGATTATTGGAAGCAATACGTGAAAAATGAGTGATCAACTTCAGACACAAAAGATTCCCGTTTGTTCCCCAACAGAAATAACAACTTCAAAGAACAGAGCCGAAATTCTGTGATTTTACAAATTCCATTAGCACAAAATGCTTGTTTTGAACAAGATTATGTGAATGAGTTCCTACGTTTGTATTCATACAAGAGGCTCTGGAGACAGCAAACGAGAAAGCATTTCGTGCGATTCAGTGCAACAGTAAACATGGCCTTAATTTGTTATCTCGCATTATAATGCACTTTAACACACTTTCACGTTTGAGGTGAACCAGTGAAAGGTGCCGTAAAACGCATGGATCTGGGCATCTATGAGTCCCAGTGAAAGTATTGTGGGTAAATTTACTAAGCATTGGCGAGGCCAAAATGACATCTTAACCCAGTGAAGCCACATAGATTGATGAGATATTAACTTGGTTATGAAAATCCAGATACTCAATCAGCGTTTCAAGACATCTCACAACTGGTGATGAAATCCTGCAAATCATATGGATTAAAGCCCTCGGTATTTAGTACATAGAACCCAAAATCAAAACCACTGACGAATAGTTGAGATTTTTTTCAACTGATGACATATTATAAACGTACTGAAAACAGTTCTAGAGTGGAAAAGTTTTTCAGCAAACACTGAGATTTACTACAGTTTACTGTGCTAACAGTTACAAAGGACCTGATTTAACTGCCAGTACTTTATAAAGTTTTAGAATGCAATTGCAGTCTGAATATTCACAACTTTCAGTAATGTCAAAGTAGTGATTAGTAATACACATTTACTGTTTCAGGCTATTATGCAAATAAATATGCGAAACCGTTACATTCAATTTGCATGCAACAGAATTACGTTGGTTAAGCGAGTGACTTTGAGGCTAAGTGTATTATAGTCTAGTATTTTTCCTGATTGGAATTTTTCATATGTCCCATACTAATTAGTATGTGACATATTATTAGCTTTTTTGAATGTGAATAAGGGCTGAACGTCAAAATTTATGACGAAAATTCTGTTGTTAGAAAGACAAATAACGCAATTATGAGTATCCAATGAAAAATCATTAGGCTTCCTGTAAAACAGATTATCTCAACTTGGAATACAAGTTCTGAAACAACAATTAATGTCTTTTAAACAACATTCCAAAGAAAACATTTCGGATATTTGTGTTTACAAATGTACATATTAAGCAAAAGTTTAAACACTAGTTTGAAATGCTTTGGGAAATCGACCGGAACAGTATTGAATTCAAGTTTAATTTTTACGTCTTCGTTTATTAGGGCTATTCTTGGTTTTATTGTTAATACTAGAGGACTGAGTTGTAGTATTATTTATTTTATTTATTTATTTAAACATATAAATATTGGTACAAGGGGGCACCAAATATATATGCGCCACACAAAACAATGATAATTTGAAGAGAAGGGGAGAAAAAAAAGTAATGAACGTGGGGAATTATAAAGAGAGAGAGAGAGCGAACAGTAATGGGGAAAACGGAAAGGTACAATCCGAAGAAATCTTTCAGTTAAGGAAGAAGCAACCACTTTTTATGAAGAAAGTAAAACAAGGTTACAGCAGGATCGTCATTGGCTTCTATTCTGAGCCATATCTGATAACGTCTCTAGCCACTGCGTTACACCGTCTCTCGGACCCCAACTAGGGAGTCGTGAAGGACCAACAGAAGCTAGCCCTTTGCAGCTTTCTTTCATACCACGACACCATGTCATATACTGACCACCTCTCCGCTTTTTCCAACCAGTCCCAGAGTCGGCAAATAATGCACGACGTGGAATTCTCTGGGACGACATTCGTAGAACATGTCCAAGCCACCGAAGTCGGTGTTTCAAGATGGTGACACCAATGGAATTATCGTCTCTGTGACCGAACACTCGATGCCGAACCTCTGCATTACTGACATGGTGTTGCCACTGGATGCCAGCAATCCTTCGGAGACAACGATCATCGAACACAGAGAGTCGTCTAACATCCTCAGCTCGGAGAGGCCAGGTTTCACAAGCATAGAGCGAAACTGCTCTCACTGACGCATTGTAGATCCGACCTTTTACAGCCAGACTAACATCACGAAGGCGCCAAAGATGGCCCAGATTGGCATAAGCCGCTCTGGCTTTCACTATACGTGCATTGATCTCATCACTCACACCACCACCAGCACT